ATTATTTGCAAATTATTGCCATTACCACGAGAAACAAGAACGTTAATGCGTTTCTGGATGAAAATACCCATCCCCCGTGCAAAGGAGTTAAAAATTCGAATACGCATTATCGATGAACAATCTAGCGAATAATTAATTCCATTCCCGTATGGAAATTCGAACGAGCAAAATGGTAATTAATCAAAACTGCTTGTTTAATGCCGAATAAACCACCGCCGTTGTCAGCCTTTAAATAATGGACGATCTGAATATCCCTCCGTGTTATTATGAATGATAATTGACACATCGTGCGAGAGAAAAGACGCTGCATTATCGAGAAATCACCTGTGATGCGAATTCAGATGAAGTGAAGCCAATTAGAATATAAGTAATTAAGAAATAATCAAGAATATATATATATGTATATATAATATATATTAGAATGTAAGAATAAGAATATGCAATAAGATTTTGTATTTTAATTGTAATAGCACGAATATATTTGAGAATAAAATTCTGAAAAATTATTAAGAATGAAAATTACTCTAATGTATAACTTTGATTATTCGAATTTTATTCTTAAATATATTCGTGTCTAAATGCTAATAATTATTAAGTATATTGTAAATTGTTCAATTAATAAAATATCATTTTATTATAAAATTTTTATAAGAAAAATTTCATCATATGTATATTATTTTAAATCATAAAATATTATACATATGAATATTGATCTAGAAGTATATTATATGTATAGATATATGTATATTACTATATGTACAAGCATTTATATAATAAATTCATTTTTCTTTTTATATGTTATTTCATATTTTATACCTATCAATTCATCCTCTACCATTATAAATTCCACATATTCCCTATTTCCTGTTAAAATCAAAAAATAATCCATATATTACAGCTTTAAAAAATAATCCATAATACATAAATTAAAAATTCCTTTATATCATAAAATTAATTTCTTTACAATAATTTGAAATATCAATTAGAATAATTTTACAAATTCAAAAAATAATCATAATAACATAAATATTTCAATAAAAAATCGGAAATTTGGGCTAGAAACTTTAAGAAATTGGTCTCTGTCGAAAAATTTTTCGTGCCACCTCCTTGCGTATCATAT